AACACCTTTTCGTCCTGTATCCCCAGTGAGTACTCCGATGCTAACAGTGTAAATCCCCGGGGTTAACTGTATCGCTAGTGGTTAGCTATTGCTAACTACTGATACGCACATAACCTCTAGTAAGAGGTGAGGTGGTCCGAGCATAGAAAGTTCCATATATACACTCAAATTGCAAGTGTTTTCCGAGAAACAACTGTGGAACTGTTTTACAGTTAAGGAGGGAATTGTACTCTCAGTGGTGGGAATGATGAGGGGATTTCGCATCGTACTGTAAGTAAATTTGTACTTATATAGATATATACATGTGGGAGCTTAGGCCCACGTTACAGGGCTAGGGGCGAAAATGTGTACTCCCTCCGTGTCACTACTATAAGTGCGCGACCTAGAGGAGGGTTGACATGGCTTCGCATTATATTCTCAAGACATTTTTGACAATCGAAATCGCTGTCTTGGGTTCAAAATTAGTCGCTCTGATTGGACCATTCGAAAGCCAATGTCAAAACCCCCGATTTGATCCAATTTCGAGCGGGAAATTCAACAAAATGAAGTCGCTGTGATGATTTCAATACATCAATAAAATACTTTATATAAAACAAACACTCATAATGACAAACATTCAGGAATGACCGTCAAATAGCGCAACGTGACGAATAGCGAGCGCGAGGCCATACTCCGTGAAGTGCTGCTGCACAGCAACAGCAGCTACTTGGTCAGGCTTCCCAATGGTCTCAGTCAAACACTCGCAGCCAAGTACAACTGCCACCCGGCCACGGTACGACGCGTGATTGGTCCTGAGACATGCATTTTGATTGTTATGATTGGACAGTTGTATCGTTACACCTTTATAAATGCATGATCGTTATAGGATCTTGGAGTGTTTTGTATTTTTATACGAGGAGGTATACTTTATTTTTCTGAGTCGCGCACTTATTGTGACACGGAGGGAGTATTCGGATGGGATATAGTTTACTGTTCTTTGTGACTGCAATAAAAAATCATTTTAGCCAATCATATTCAACCTTTATTATTTGTAGCCAATTATACTCCTTTGCTCGATTAGTTGGCAATTTCATGAATCCCCCAAAATAGGCAAATTCACAGACCGTGGAGCACAATAATAGTATTCAGATAAAGGAATTACTAATATCTAATATTGATAATACTATTAATATTAATACGTCCTGTGTAGTACTACAGTATTAATACTAACCTATTAATAGTAACGTTAACGATAGTAACGTTAGTAGATTCATGACTTGTGGTAATTTATAATATATGTATTATAACGGGTCTCGTATATCCGAATCATCGTCATGGCGGCGGTGCCGTTGCCGGTCCTGGCCGAGCTCCAAAAGGTATTGACCTACCCCTGTGGCGCTTCCTTCGAGCATCAATCCGTCACGACGGTGTCTCTCATCTAGCTTCGCGACGAAGTAGCGCGTCTTCGACAGGAGAAAGGGCAGGGCGACTCGTTGGTGCACTTGTTGCAGGAGCAGAACAGCCGCAGCAGCGAAGAAATCTTCGACTTGCACGCCCAGATCGTCGCCGTGGAAGCCGAGGCCGCGTACAAGTGTGAGCAGAACGAGTTGTCCATGCAGCATCAGCTCAAACGGTTGGTCTCGCACACAACCTTCCTCCAAGAGGAAAAAAAGTCCGCCGAGCGCGCGCGACAGGTGCTGGAAACCCAACTCAAGCAGGTACACATCGACCCCATCTGCCGTCGTTCTCTTCATGATCCTCATCTTGCGAGTTGGATAGCTTCAGACCACCGCGCAATTAGAGCACAAGCGCCTCGAAGCCGGCAAGCGACTGCTCGAGACGTCCAAGCGCAAGCTCGAAGCCGAGAAGGTTCACATGTCCCAGCAACTCTTCTCCCAAGCGACCCCTCCTCCATCGTCTTCATCGAAACGTCCTCGCGTCGATGCGGCGGCGGCGGCGTCAAGAGTGTCAACATCTGAAAAATGCTTTCAAACCGATCCATTCACTCCACTTGCAGTGGAAAACAGTGACCTGATCGGTATGTATTCTAAGGCGTTCATTCATCTATCTCTTTTGTATGATTTGCATCGAAATATATATATATATATATATATATATATATATATTTATTTATTTCGACACGTATATCGATATGTATAATATATATATTTCGACACATATATCGATATATATAATATATATATTTCGACACATATATCGATATATATAATATATATATTTTGACACATATATCGATATATATAATATATAGATGTGGTGCCTTTTCGTCGTATTTTGTCGTGAATGTAATCATTTTATAACATACGAAATATATATTTGTCCAACTGTAGTGAATGTATATTTTGTGTGTCGCGACGTTTAGTCGTGAATGCGATAATATACAACAATATATTTTTCAATTGCAATGATTGTATATATATATATATTGCATACCAGAACAATATATATATATGTATATATTTACGTTCCAAATGTTCCAAATGAACATCATGTTTTATTGTGGGTGTATGTATATATAGATATAGTTATCGCATGAGGTCCATTGCAAGTCTCGACGTGTACTCCTCCATAGAATTAAACTTTCTTAATAGTATGATGGCTATCGTAATACTTTATTCAGCATGTTGCAGACGAATAATCGAATGTTGTATCCCATGCAGTGTCCATATATATTTATATATATACATATATACATATTGAAATCCCCCACACTAGTATTGAGTATATATATATACTAGTGTCGAGAGTGTGTACTAATATATATTTTTATATAGGAAAACTGCTGCAAATGTCATCGGACCTGACGATGCTTCTCCAACCCCAAACTCCCCATAGTACGCCTGTGACTTCTAACTTGGACATTTCCGACGACCTGAGCCAGCTCATGCCTCAGTTCTCCCAATGGCAGCCTCAAATGTCCTCTAACGTCCCCCCCTATCATTATCACTCGGAGCATTTCGACTCTTCTTCCCATCTGTCCAAAGCCGCCGCCGCCGTCCATTTGACTAAGGCGGTCGCGGCCATGTTGGCAGGCACAGTGTCAGCTGTGGCGATGGTGGCACCCCTGCTTCAGTATTTACAGCCTCCAATTGTACGATATATATATATATATATTCTATCTATGGATATAGAAATGTATTGTAGTGTGACAGGATACAGCCTCCAATTGTACGATATATATATATACATATATATATACTGTATCTATAGATATAGAAATGTATTGTAGTGTGACAGGATACAGCCTCCAATTTTACGAGATATATATATATACTGTATCTATGGATATAGAAATGTATTGTAGTGTGACAGGATGACGAAGAACAAGAACGACATGTATTATTGTGGTTGCGAGTTCCAAAAGATATATATATTATATATATATATACATTTATGTCCCTGTGAGATAGAGTTGGTTTTGAGATTGGAATCGAGTCCAAGCCCCTTGTCACTCATTTGAATCGACCTCAAAGTGGTGTTTTTTACTAGTTTATATCGATGGACGGCGTGTTGAATACAACTGTTTACGTGGAGACTTTTCTCGTTATTTCGTGTTTTGCGTATATATATATATATATTGACCGGAGGCTATGTAGGACGCGACTGCTGTCGTGTGCAGTGCCTTGCGTGTGTTGTACGCACTGCTCCAATGCAGCCCCCGCCTCCACCACCTCTTTCAACGGCCACCACCACCAGCCAATCAACGATCGTTTAGTCGCATCGTTGGCCAATCACCGGCGACCACGTCGGCCCTCCACTCCCTCCGCCATCGATCGACTCTTTGCAACGACGTGCCAGAGGAACTTTCCAAGAACGTTCTTTTCACACTGGGCCGACTCGTGCCTCTGGTGACTGCAAACCCGTGGACTTTGCAGTCGATGCGCATTCAAACTGAGCTCTTTGGTAGGCGACTCACCTATTTATATATATGATGGGACCTGTACATAATACATGCTTTTGTTTGTCACTGTTACGTGGAGACACGGACGGTTCGCGGCAGGTGTATATATATGTGGAGAATAAATAGGTTTCACGGCAGATATATATATATATATGTATCTGCCGTGAAAATAATATATATATATACTACGTAGTATGTCTTCTGCCGTGAAGTATATTATTCTCCTGGTATATATATATATCTGCCCGTGAACCCTCTTCTTCTCCATGTAACAATGTTGTTTTGTTTTGTATCATGTATTTTAGGTTTGAAAAAGTGAAAGTGTATGTGGTAATCGATATCGTACCCTATATAATATTGTGTACTGATACATACATATATATTGATATATATATATAGGAGTGCTTTCGTACTTGGTGGGTCTCTACAGCCAAGACACTAACAACAACAGCGCCGCCTTGGAACACAAGTCCTCAAAACCCACCCACCCACCTTTGATTGATCCTCCAACTCATCACGGCACGGCCTTCCACTCGGTGATTTCTCCCACTTGCGACCTCATCACCACGTTCCTCTCCGACCACCAGGCTAGTACTACTAGTAGTAATACTAGCTCCACCACCGATGAGGGTACGATGGTGGACATGAGCGAGAAAGTGGTCGTTCAAGCCGTGGGGGTGCTCTGCCATGTGATTGCAATTCCCGACTGTCTACCGCTCGTGCTGCCGGTAAAACTATGGATATTGATTGAGTTTTGAAAAAGGGATGTTTATTGTATTATCACATTGATATAATAGATACGATTGATTGATTGTTTGGATTTGCATTCGATAGATACGAATTATATGTGAGATGGCTAGGATATATACTGTTTGATTTCGTTGGTATAGATGATGTATATTTACTATATGTATCACGACAGGGACCATTGGACTGCTGCTGCTGCTGCTGACCATCGATATTGTCGTTTTATCCCAAGATTTGGATTTATATCCCAAATTTGGATTTATATCCCAAGATTTGGATTTATATCCCAAGATTTGGATTTATATCCCAAGATTTGGATTTATATCCCAAGATGTGGGTGCTGAAGATTCGCCAAATCTATCGATCGGTTCTTTGTTCTGACGTTTGTACGTGCAGTGTCACACTAATTCCAGATTCACACACTAATTCGATGCTAACTGATTGGAGTTTGATTGGGTACTTGATTAGTGTTCTGTGTTATGATTGGTCGTATATCGATTGTCTGCCGATTTGATGGGGCTGCACCCAAACACTCCAATAATTTTTCGAATCGACTTGACAATAATACATTCGAAATATCTCAAATTCGTGCAGTCGAAATCTCTACATGTATATATATATATATATATATACTTCATACAAATATATAGATTGTCATTTTTCCCATGAAATGGAATATATATATGAACTTATTGTGGTTTTGTGTGTAGCACTTGGGCAAGTGGTGGAGCCTGCTTTTTCCTCTTCATTCTTCCAACACATTGAATCAATCGAGCCAGTCATATTGGACAGTGCACGTAGCAGTGCTTGAGCTCATGCAGGCCATCACGACGTTATATCCGTCGCATGCGTGGTATATGGACCATCCCGAGGCTGTGGATGGCCTGTGGGACTTCGTCAAGCGACGGTGCAAGGCGGCAGGTTTCACAGCCTTGTCATTGGGTTCTGTTCAAAGCTCTACAAGAAAAGATGACGTGGTGAAGCTGGCTCTCAAGATGCTGGCCATGGAGGCGGTCGTGTCCAAGCGATCTGTGGTTGGGGATGGGTGGTTCAACCAGCACTTGGTCGCCGACGTCATCCAGCAACTCCAACCCACTGGTGACGACAAGCTAGTATTACGACTACTCGTACCGTGGATGCGGGTCTTGCCCCCCAAATAATTTTTAATCGATTCAAGCAAGCAGCTACTTAGTGTTATATGTGTATTGGAGTCGATAGGTCCCACGCTGTTTGACATGAGCGGGCTAGAATGCATTAATAAGTACTCCAGTCTATTTAATCAAAAATATATACTAATAGGGACTAGTAAAGAACAACACTTGAATGATTCTAGTTAATTCGCTTTGCACTTGTTTTGGCGTCAGTTTTACGTGGCTAAAAGAGTGATATTTCTACTGTCACTATTTATATCTTCCATGTGGAACAGAACTAATTTGACCTTATATTGAATGGTAGTATAATACTACTTTTTCACGTTTAAATATTTATTTCACGGTGCGCAGATCAAACAACCAAAACACATACGGTAGTTGCTTCGAATTGGACTAGAAAATAGTACTAGTAGTACAATATGAACCGGGACCCTGGACAAACTTGCACTATCAACAATATATTATAATATTTACACATATTATGAATATTTACTCATTATAGCTCGTCGTTGGGACGAATTGGTTGTGTGGTGGAGGAGGGCGAAGCAGGGACGACAAAGCGCTGGGTGTCGTCCACAGTGTCCTGCAAAGTCAACTCCAGCTCGACCGTGCCCGTGGCAGGGTTATGAAACGACTACACTCACAAGTTTCCATATATCAGGTATATGTGAATAAACCAGTTTCCATAGTGATATATATATATATACCCATTCATAACCATATATATATATATACCCATTCATAACCATAAATATAAATATATATATACCCATTGAAGGTCATAAATATATATATATATACCCACTGATAACCATATATATATATATCCATTGATAACCATAAATATATACATATATATATATATATACCCATTGGTGGCCTGCGTATGACGTGTATTGAATCGACGAGTGCGGGGCCAGCGTCGTCATGAGGTTGGTTTGCCAGTGTAATTCCAGCGGCACGTCCATTTCATTCACAAAGGTCGCGCCGATGGGACCGCTTTCGCCGTTCAGTCGCTTCTTATTCCACACCCACAAGTTGGCCCCCCTGTCATATCCCCATATGAATATATCCAAATCTCCCAAAAAATATAAATATTTCACGATCACATTGACATTATAATATTTCTATATTACATACCATTTGGTGCCTTCCAAGACAGGGCAGCCACCGTGTTCGGCCATGGGATCCAATTCCGCTACAAACAAAACCATCACATATATACTATACAACCCGTACATATATATATATATATATTACCATTGCCTTTTTGGCTGTAAAAGAGCACAGCGTGCGCTTTTTGAGGGTACGAGGCCAATCTACGAAAAATATATTTAAATTTCTCTAGCAATATATCTCTTACTTGGAAAAACATTGTTTCGTCATTTTCTGCTCCCACGAGTCTTGGGGAAAGATGGCCAGTTCTGCTTCGGACGGAGGTGGGGCGTGGCCTACCCCCTCGGGCATGTTGGCTCGTACAAATACTGTTTGGCCGCCCCGTGTCACATTTGACAAGTACATGAACACGGTTGCAAAGCTACCCATTGTTATAATACGTTAAAATATGGTGAATACATAATACTATGATTGTCCAAATATAATAATAGTATTATTACGATAGAGACTGAAAAGAATAGATAATATTACCGGTTGGACCCGCCTGTTTTGGGGTTGAAATTCCACTCCGAGTTGACGGTGGAGCCGACTTCAAAGTAGTCGTTATGGGGAATATACGCTTGCTTTTGCTGGTACCGAAGGAGTTGCAGGCCATCCGCCATGGACACTATAATTATGCATACAAAATAAATACTAAATAATATTTGGATTTGCACCACAGAATAATATAAAACGTAAACTATTAATCATAGCATTATGTAATCCAGAATCTTAAATCAATTGAAACAATGCGATGACGATGTACATACATACATACATATTTCAATGGAATTATTGTGCTTTTCAGCCAAATTTGTCTATTTTCGGGGAATCGCCATCTCATCGAGCAAAGGAGTATGATTGGCTACAAAGAATGAAGATTGCAATATGATTGGCTAAAAAGGTTGATTAATCCATTGCAGTCACAAAGATGTCTCTTAAACTCAGTTTTATATGAAATTTCGAAGGTCCGACGATTGATTCAACCATCCGCGGGAGAATATTTTAAATAGAACACACAATAATATTACATGGTGCAAATAAAAAAAGGGGGGGAACGACCGATAGATAAAAAATATGTGATGATATCACAAAAAACTAGTACTACTACTAGTCATATATATGTACCTTTGTACTCGCCAAGACGCAGCAAATCAAACGATCGCTTGTTGAGCGAAATGGCCAAGTCCGACGTCGTATCGAACGCATTGTCGCTCGTGCGCACTGAAGATACCCTAATAATATAAGAAATAAAAAAAAACATTTAAAAAATATATATCAAAACCTATACAAACAAATATACAATAATAATCTTACTCTTTGGTGAGAACTCGAGACCGTTTGAGCTTTTGCTCGGCGGTGGTGATGGAGAGAGTCCGCTCGATGAGTTCGTCCGCTTGGTCGCTTGTAAAGAAGTCGTGAAGTAAAAATACCCGCGGCGATTCGCTAAAGGATTCGAGCACGATGGGCTTTCCCGTGGGGGACTGGGTCGACTCTATAGCTACGCGATGGCCAAACTAGGCGATAGTAGTACTAGTAGTTATATACTAGAGTTTGGAGGGAAAGATAGTATCAAATAGGATACTAGCTATGTATACTAGTAGTAATAGGCAGAAACATGAGTTTTGACCTTGATTTGTCCTGATGGTTTATAGTATTTATTTTCGAGAATAATATTTACCGACGACAATCACAACCAAATAAATGTAGAACACATGGAGGATGTAGCCAATCAGATTGCAGGAAACCAAATTCTAATTAGTGTGAGATTCTCATAAATTGGTGTGATTTTTACAAACAACCCTTTGGCATTGCATTGATCGATAAATGGCTGGTCATGATATATGTATGGAATACGACGCACGTGAAACTGTCTATTGCCCGTGCCTTCATATGCATTGCTCGAGAATGACGACATATACATGTATATGTACCTCGACGTACGGCCATACAAAGTGAAAGTCGGGGGGTATGAGGTACAGGTTGTCGTGGTCTTGAATGTCGTCGTACGCATGAACATGTACGCCTTTCCCGGTCACGACGCGATCGGCAATGATCTTTTTGGCACTGTCTTTTGCATCCACGATGATGCCTTCCACGTCGACAAACGTCGACAGGTACGCTGCAAGCGTTTGTCCGGAAGTCACATGCTCAGGCAACACGTCAAGAGGAACGCCGCCGGTGGACTCGCCATTCGGGAACACCGTCACGGACACCGCATGGACATAGACGAGGGCAACGAGGACCGACGAGATGATACGCGGGATGGACCGCATCTTGGTTACTGTAATGTGGCGGTGTCGTCTGGATCGCGCTAGAGAACAGACATGGCAGCATGCGCGATTCTTTGTGTCGAAATTGTAGTAACGTTTCCACGTCTTTTCATCAGACGTAGTAGTAGTACAGTATATAACCTCTATAAATCGATATTGTATACTACTAGTAGTACTACGTACTCCGAGTACTACGTAGTACACTGTACTACTATAACACTTCTACGTAGTATAGTACTATTAATAGTACTATTTATAGTAGTATTTATATACCTCCTATATTCCATACATCTCCATAGTAATACTACTACCACTATTAATACTAATATTAGTATTAATACGTACTACTATTAATAGTATAACGTTAACGCTATGATGAAGACTGATACTACTGTACTGTAGTAAGCGGTATTAACAGGAAGTACTTTACTGTTATTAGTATTAATATAAGCTTAGCCATTTACAGTTAACCAGACTGCGAACAACCGTATTTATCCGGCAATCTGGCCTTTCTCGTGCGGTATCCGGATCTTCATCCCAATCCACTTGACGTTTGTATGGTGCACTGTGAGTCGTATTTTAAATCCCTGTGGAGTTTCAAAAGCATTTCAAAGATCGTGTATTCGAAATTGATAGTGCTATCTTTGGCGCATCTCCAATCGTTTGGCGACGCCATCTGCGTGATCCCCTTGATATTCTTGTTGGAATAAGCTCTGTACCAACTGGTACAGGAGTTTCAGAACGTTTCATTCTGGGTCTAACAATACCACCCAAATCTATGGGCACTAACGTTAGTATTCTACTACAGTACCTCGAAGTAATAGTACTATTAATAGTACTATTTAATAATTGACCAAAATAGTACTACAGCATTAAAATAGAACTACAGTATTTGTAGTCTGTAGTCCTATTTTGGTAATACAAAAAATGATCAAAAGCCATTTAAAAAGCATTTCAAATGATTTACGTAAAGGACGCCCCGTGTTTGGGTCTTGCGCCACTTCAATACTGGAACTCGAGGGATGAGCGCATCGTTGTTCCTTCGACGTGTCGTCGCCGCCTTGCTTGTATGCATGGCCTTGGTGTGCTTGGGTGCAAATGACACCAAGGTCGTGACGGTGTTCAACAACGGCGAGTCCGTCGGCGGCATTCAAGTGCGCTTGACACCAGAGCACGTTCCTACGGGACAGCATTTGGCCGAGTACCTCTCGACGCTGTTGGATGTGGAAGGAATGTACACAGACGAGACCAAGACATCGTCCAAGGCGGTGGCAGACCGCGTGTTCACCGCCATCGGCAAGCCCATCCATTCATTCGACGACATTGCACCCAACGATGAACTGTACATTGTTCCAACGGGCTTGCTGTTCGTGTGGCCGTTCGTCAAGGTATGCTTCATCTAGATCCTTTCTCCAACGACATCACTCCTCATCCTTCTTGTCCTTGGCATTAGTACGGACACCGCGTGACCGTACAGTCGGCCCATTCGCCGACGGGGAAGCCCATCGTGCTGGAATCGTACAACGACTCGCCACGCGTGTTCCTAATCCACAACTTCTTCACCAACGAAGAAGCAGACCGACTCATCGAACGGATCTCGGAAATCGACGATGACATCAACAAGCTCAAGCGATCGACCGTCGGCCACGACGACAAAGGCTCGTGCGTACTATATATATATATATTGTCTTTTATTTACGATATATATATATATATTGTCTTTTACCCAAAATTTGGGCTTTTGTGCTGAATCGACAAATCTATCGATCGATTCATTATACTGAATGTTGTATGTAAAAAGGTGTGATGGGTATCACACTAATTGAAATCATACACTAATTTGATATTGATGACGGTTTCCTGCAATCTGATTGGCTAAATCCTTCTGCCAATGATTCTTGTGTAACACATTTGGTTGTGTCGATTCATTCTCCATGCCGCTCCAGTTTAGAAGAAACACAACTATATATGCTCTGGTTAAAATATACATTTTGCGGCAATGCATACATTGTGTTTGCGTCAATATGGATATTATTGTGGTTTCAATATATATATATATATATATATATATATACTCTGGTTTAAAAATAGTTGGCCTGCAAATCATACATTTTGTTTGCTGCAATATGGATATTATTGTGTTTTCTATATATACGAATATACTCTGGTTTAAAAATATTTGGACTGCAAATCATACATTGTATTTGCGTCAATATGGATATTATTGTGTTTTCAATATATATATATATATTTATCAATAGATCATACTGATGTTTATATAGCGAGTCGTCGGTTCGCACGAGTGAAAACGCATTCGATGCAAAGTCCCCCGAAGCGATTTCGCTCATGAAGCGATCGTTTGACTTGCTCAACATTGGCGACTTTCAAGGTACAGTATTATGTCCGTTGAAGACTACTACTAGTACCTACTAGTTTGCATACTATTTTGATATGTACTTGTACATGAAACCAATATGGCAATAGAAAACATGGCGGATGGTCTGCAATTGCTGCGATACAAACCAAAGCAAGCGTATATCCCACACAACGACTGGTTTGATATCGATTCCACGTCCGATTTCAACTGGGAACCCAAAGCTGGCGGCGCCAATCGGTATGTACATATACACCTTTGCAACCCTAAGTATACAGTACAGCCCTATAAAAAAAATTAGAGTAAAAGGACTCGAACCTCTGATTTTCCATACCAAAAACGGATGCCTTACCAACTTGACCATACTCTAAAAATATACTTAGAAATATTCTCATCTAATGGATCCGCAATCTATTGCTACAATTAACTTAGTAACATCACATTTGTTATTGTATTTATCATTATTATTATTATGATCTTCCCTACGGCTTGAAACAGTGTACGGATTGTTTTTATTTGGACCCGACCACGACTCGCTCCGATTGGTCAATCTGAAAATACTTGTCGTTGATTGGCTACTTTATTTTCTTCTTTTTTCTGTGGCATGGGCATACACCCCACTCAAATTCTTTCGCAGCATTCGTGGACATGAAATCATTATAACAATATCCAAACTAACAATATATATATATAAATGTCTTGTTTTAGATCCACATAACAATATCCTCCAAACTAACAATATATATATATTAGATTTGCGACAGTGTTCTTGTACCTATCGAACGTTACGAGGGGAGGGCAGACGGTGTTTCCATTGGCGAATATGCCGCCTGGTGTAAATCACTCGGCTCCACCAACCGACGAAGAACTGGATTTGTTTGAAAAGGGCTCGTGGGAGCATAAAATGGTCAAGCAGTGCTACTCCAAGTAAGATACTCTAAATTATATGGTGGCAATAAATATATAGTAATAGTCTTCTTTTTCATAATATATGATAACACGTAGACTGGCGTCGTATCCCCGCAAGACTGCGTCGGTGCTGTTTTACCACCAAAAAGGCACTGGTAGGTTGAACTTTTTAGTTGACTATTTCACGGAATATTTCATTTTAATCTACATTTCTGCCTAGGTGAGCTGGACCATCGTGCCGAGCATGGAGGGTGTCCAGTGCTTGAAGGCACGAAATGGTACGGTGAATGAAAACTGTGTTTTGGCTAATCAAACGCCTCTATTTAAAATCTGTTGATTTGATTCGTCGAAATCAATCGAATTGCAACCAATCATAGTGCAAATTATATATATATAGATATATGCGTTATCCCTTTTAAAAATTCTAACTTGATATATAGGGCGGCAAATCTGTGGGTGTGGAACCGCAACCGCAACGGCCCGGAAGGGTCGCCTTTGAAAGTGGACTTTGTCAACACTCGGGACTACCCAGTCAAGTTATTTTGGGCCAACAGCCACATGTCGGACCTCGCTCCCGGCCACAAAATTAATTTTAATTCGTTTGGAAAGCACATCTGGGTAATACTATTATTTATTTATATATATAATTTGATATGATGTTTTATACCTGGTTAATACTATTGGTATGTATATATCTTGATATTTTATACCTGAATAATACTAGTATAAGAATGACATGGTCATATTTTGATATATTTTGATACATCAATGACCATATCATTCGTATCCCTATTGTAAAATTGGTATTTTGCATATATATTTTGATCGTTTATACCAAGGTGATGAGAGTGTTGTATAGTTTGATATGTTGTACGGATGATTCTGCTTGTAGACTTTTCGAGATGTCGACGGCAACGACTTGTTTACGCACACGCTAAACTACAAAGATGGGCTGGTGCAAGTAATTAGCCTGCCGCCGCTGCCTCCTTCCGATGCCACCGACGAAAGCAATCACTCCGAAGTACCTCCACAAAACGACGAGTTGTAGCCACATGTATCTGCTGCTACTACTTTACAAGGCGAAATATATGGTCCCATAGCATAATACAGTAGTGTTAATTACTATAGATTGCTATATTGTCGTTACAGTAGTACTGTATATACTCGTCATGGCAATCTGAAGTAGAATAGTATTACTACTACGTACTAATAGTAGTTTCCACTAGGACTAATCCTACCAGTACTGTACTGGCTAGTGAAAAGTATGCCAATGTCTACTACTATTAATATCTACCAAGTAGTTTGAAATTAATACAGTAGTTAGTATTAATATTATCCTCATGAAATCCTGAAACCCCATCTATACAAGTAGTGGGATAACGGTAGTAACGTTACAGTATTGTCGAGTCTCTTCCATTTACACAAACCGAGCCGAGACATGTGATTGGCTAATATCCTAAATCGAAATGGATTGTAGCCAATCAGAGAGAAGTAATTTCGGACTGCTGACCAATGGAAATTAGTACCGAATGTCCACTAGTACTACTACGTAGTACTACTATAGACAAGCGACATACTATGAATAGCAGTGTATTATTCTTGTCTTATAGGATTTGCTTTGAGCTTGCATTCTATGCAGTTTACGAGCTGTTGCTTGGCGGGTACGTCTGGGAGATGATGGTTCACAAGGTCAGCATATTGCATCAGTACTGGCAGTGCTTCATGGCAGTAAATTGGCCAGTCTTTTACAATTCCCAGCACTTGGTCGACTAGAAACACAGCGTCGCTTGGTAATATTCTCACATTGTCGTCCCCATCTGGTCTTCTCAAGGCGGCATCTCGTACTCGATGGAATTCTTCCTGGCACAGCGTGGCCACAAGTGCGTTTGTTTGGGGTAATCGTAGCATCCTCAAGTGCTTCTGAAACACTGGATTAGTCGCAACCACCGCGCCGCTTCGCATGGTGTGGAGTGCCCGCGCCGCCAACGCGTCGGCCATCATGTCTTGCAACCCGCCGCCCACGCTTTGTAGCAAATACAAGGCGTGTTCGACATGTATTTGACAGTGCCAGTCAAAGTGCTGCATCATTTCCATCGCTTTCTGCACCACCAAGTCGACCCCCACACTCTCCAACGACGGGGCAAGAGAGTGGCCTTGAGAGTGGTTTTGAGAGTGGCTTTGAGAGTCAAATGCGCGGACTACGGCTACCCACGCCAGGTCTTCCCATCGATGCCGCCATGGATTAAACGACAACAAGTCCGCGCGGACATATGGCACGATGAGCTGCGCCAATGCCAAGGCGGCGTACGTGGACTCGTACGAGGCGGCCGTGGTCGGGTCGGCTTTCCACTGCGAAAACCGAGCCAACACGGCCATTAAACTGGCAAACTCGTCGTCTACGTCTGCCCACACCTGATGCGTCGACTCAGATCGAGCAGAATCAGACTCAGATCGAGTGGAATCAGACATGCGATCCAACGCTCGGTCTTTTGCTCGCAAACAGTGACATAATGTGGTCAGATACGCCCACAATGTTTGCATGGCGTCAAACGTGGTGCCGCACGCGGCCAGCTCGTCGTCGAGGGCGGCAATGGACGACGCCAATTGGGTCAATTCCACGTCGACGCGGTGCACGTCACGAGCGCGCGCGTCCATCTGGTCCACCATCGTCGCATGCGTCGATTGCAACTTGGTGATGACGTGGCCAAGGGAATGAAACGACAGGTGGGAGGACGAGGTCTTGGAGTACAATGGCGCGGGACGAGATGGGGGGACGAGGCCGGCGCGACGGAGCTGGTCGGCTTCCCACTGCATGTCGCCCGGGTCGTCGTCTTCGCCTTCGTGAGGCAAGTCGTCAGTGTCCAACGATGCTTCTTCGAGATGACGACGATCAGATCCATGGAACGTATCAGAGTGGTCGGGAGGGAGCGAGGAAGGGTTGAGGGGAATGAACGTTTCTTCTTCTTCGATAGGCACGTCGAGGTGGTGGTTGTTGACTTTGGTAGAATCAGGATGCGGAGACGGGGACGGAGACGGCACGAGTGTATCGTCATCGACGGCCTTGACGAAGTGTTTCTGCGCGGCTTTCAACGCGTTCAGATTCTCGGTCGAGTACAAGCTGTGGGATGCGCTGTCGGAGGGGGACTGATCGGCGGCGCTCGTCGCGGACGCAACAGGGACGCGGGCAATCTTGCCCTTCTTGAGCCGAAACGATGGACCATCGTCGTCGTCGTCGTCAAAGGACGCGACGACGGACGGTCGCTTGTTTGCCTTTTTGGACGTGAAGTCGGGAGGCTTCCGCTGTTTCTGCTGGAGGCGAGCCCGAATTGCATCGATGGCGTCGACATCCCCATTATCATCCTCGCCGCCACTCGGGGAAGCGCTCGGGATCGATGGAATCGCATGATCTACGTCGTCCCTTGCAGCATCGCCGTCGTCGGTGGCCTGTCGGGTCTTGGATGTCGCCGCCGCCGGCTTCTTGGACGAGGCTTTGCGAGCGCGGAACATGGTTCAAAACAGTGAAATGAAAACACCAAATTTATCGAATTTTCGAGAAACCATGAATTTTTTGCCCCAAACGTTTACTTTTTTCATGAAATTGTCAGAACTAATTACAAGTAAGTACTACTCGTACGTAGTACTACTATCAATAATACTATTAATACTATTAACACTACTATTTTAATAGTAGTGTTAATAGATAGTATTAAAATACTATCTATTAATATCAATATCTATACTATTAATACTAGGACTCCGAGTAGTTGATACTAACTGTAGTAATACTGTACTATACTATTACGTAGTACACTCCGAGTAGTATGTAGTATACTACTAACGTTAGTACTATTAATAACTATTAATATTAATATTAGTACTCATTACTATTATGAAAAAGTATCACAATTCGCACTTGTTAACTGTAAAGTCTCTACTCGGAGCACCACGTAGTACTGACCCACTTATATTGCTCCAGGCCACTTTTTCAGGATTTTATGAGAATATTTCAATCAATTCAAGGCTTTGTAGTCGACATAGGCATACTAGTACTTCTAATCCTAGAGCAATCTGAATAAGAATTCAGACGGCTGTGTCAGGCAATAATAATATTCGTTCGCGTTGATGCAATCTCAACGATATCCAAATCGTTCTATTGAGAATTTCACTTCATCCAATCAAATCCCCGTATTTTCTCATCAAGTGATTTGATTCGCCAACAAATACATTCACCATCGATTGCGACAAATAAAACCCTTCGACATATTACGACAAATCCAGCAATAATGTGATGCTCTCGGCCGACACCGTTTCATTTCCGCACTTACAGCATCACCTCTACCTCCATCACCGCCATGCAATCCTCTCTTCGCCGTCGAGTTCTTGTGGTTGGTGCTACCGGCAACCTCGGCCGTCTCGTCGTCAAGTCCCTCGTTCGGGACGACCTCACGGACGTGGTCGCGCTCTCTCGTCGCGCGCCGCCCACGTCCGACTCGTCTGTGCGATGGGTGCAAGGCGACATGCTCCAGCCTGCTTCATTGACGCAAGTTCTGGCCAACGTGGACACAGTCATCAGCACTGCCAACGGGTACATGAAGGAGTCGATCGAAGCCGACTACTTGGGCAACAAGAACCTCGTGGACGCCATCGCGTCGTCGCCCCACGTCACGCGCTTTGTGTTTCTGAGCATCACGGGCTGCGACCATGCACCCGACGTGCCCCACTTCCACGCCAAGGCGGTCACAGAGGCGCTGGTCAAGGCTACGAGCATCCCGTACGTGTTTATTCGCGCGTCTGCGTTTCTCGACCAGTCGCCGGATTGGGTGGCCGACAACGTTCCCAAGGGTCGGTACCTCAGCATCGGCGATACCACAACCCCGTGGTCGTACACGTTGAGCGACGACTTGGCCGACAACTTGGCGACCGCCGCGGCCACTTCGGACGACGCCATCGCCAACCAAACGATTGACATTGGCTGGCAGGATGGCCCCAAGACAAATGCGCAGATCCAAGCGCTGGTTGAACAGGCGACGAACACGAAACTGACCAATGTGACCGTGCCGTGGTGGATCCTCTCGACCTTCAAGTACCCGACCAAGCTGTTGCATGCGCTGGCGTACGACATCATTACGATGCTGCTGTTCTTCCGGACAGGTAAGTTTGTCGCCGACACGACCAACCAAGCGCGGTTCCTGGGCCCCGTGCCCACTTCTGAAGAAGCTGTCCGTCGATGGGCCAAGAAAAATCACCTGGGCAACTAGACGAGTACTAGTAGTAGTAGCATATATATATATATATTAATATACCTACTATTAATAGTAGCATTTGACTAGTGTCAATCAATTCATTTTCAGAAGGATGAACTCGACTTCAACACCGTTGAAGGTGTGAAAATTGACATTGACGCTGCTCTTGGAGTAATCCCCCTCGCGGCAGGCCAGTCTCGTTCCACTAAACGCTTGCATATCACATCAGCATAACTGTGCCAATAATCATTGTCAAATATGGCATTTCATATATATTGTCGATTTGATACAAATTTGGGGAGGGGGTCGAATCGCGCCGACCAAACCGATCCACAATCGATCTGGTTGAATTTCATTGAGAAGGTTTTGATTGGCTAATCATTTTGAGCTCATCTGAAGTAGCCAATCAAATCGATTTAAATTCCAACGAGATAACCACAACACGAAATTTCACTCGAAGGCACAATACTACCGTGTAACCTATATAGATTTGGACAGTGGCGGGGCAAGTATCCGGATACGGATAGTGTAAATTACCATATGCATACAATAATCAAGTGTAATAATCCAATTATATAATTTTACAGAGGAGTCCAAATCTATATGGCTGTCTAAACCTATATACGTTACACGGTAGTTGGCAAGGTAATCCGACAGCATCCCATGGACAATGTCGGCTACGTTTCAAAGGGATTATTCCAACGTTCGGCAAACCGGTTGTGGTGTTGGGGACGGGGAGGATAAGGCTAGTGGCGCTGGTTAAATGCGTTCTCATTAGCTTGGGTAAAAGCATCATTGAACAATGTCGGCGGTCACAATGCCATAAACCACTTCCAACGATTCGACACTGGCCAGCACTTCACTAAACATTGCGCTTCGTCCATGTCTTCTTACTTGGCTAACACAATGCTCACTCAAACTGCTCAGTGGTCAAAACTCGCATTCCCACGACCACTTCGTCCACAACACATGGTTGCGTTGCGAGATATGTGCTGTTTTTGGTATTTTTGCTGGATTTTATTAGCCAGTTCAGGAGCACGGAAGGAAATTCACCAACGCTCTCAAGTCAGCCTCGATCAATCACGGGGGCCTTGCAGGTAATACAAAATGGTCGTCGTCAAAACCCTCTCCACTATGTATCGCAGACGATGCAATCGAGATCCCCGCCGAGCCAACTAACTGGTTCGTGGCCCTTTTCCCGAACCCGAGCTCGGCCAAAAGGTCGTTCAGTTGTGCTTTAGTGGGGGGTGTTCTTCATCTTCGGATTTACTCGTTGACGAGGTCCAAAACGCCTTAACTTACAAAATGGACCTTTTACCTCCATTTTGAAAATGGCAATTTTGGCTAATCCCATTTTGCGAGAAATTGGAATATTATTTTTGAAATCTTACCAGACCATGAAATCAAATAACGTACGCCAAGATAACAACCAAAATAAGACTGAAAGTACATAAAATACTACCAATCGTTCAAAGAGATCGCCGTGCAATGCGTGAAACGCTTGGGTTTCGTTTGCATCGAGTTTGTAAATATGCTTGTCGAACCAGTAAACGTCCACGGGCACTTCGAATTTGTTCCAAAATGTCAGCACAATTGGCGACTTAAAACTTACTATCTCCTCATCCTCAACCAGGTCGTCCAGAGGTGCTACGAACGCCTCGCCGGGAACCGTCACATACAAATGCTTGTGCTCAACCAGCTGGTCGAACGACATGACAGTGTCGCCGGTCAGCGTGAAGACGCGATCTCCGTGGTAACTCAACGCAGCAACTGTCGAGAGGTACGCTACCAACGCCTGGACGGTCTTGGCCTGGTTTGGCCCCACTTGCACTGCGATGCCTTCGGTGTTGGACACACGGGTGGGCGCGGTCAACGAATCACGTCCATTTGGAAAGAACACCACGGACATACCAGACACCACGATCCCAAGGACGGCGAAGGTTATCGCCAACAACACTGCCATCGACATCGAGCTGGACTCTCAAGGTGTGTGTGGACAACAATATCATGTTGCGCGTGATTGGTAAAATGAAACATGATACACTGTATATTACGATACAATATCATACTGGAGGTTATATCAATGCTTTTCACTAAACCTGGGTAAATACTTGAACTGTGGAATCCCATACCAATATATGAACTTGCGATCACACAACAATCGAACGACACCATCATTTTGGACTAACTTGGCCGAACGTTATGTGTATTGCGAATATGTACGTTTGACGCCATACAATTGTATAAAGTCACACTGCGTATATTGTTGACCCAGCTTGGTGCCATCCATATATACAATGCTTGGAACGCTTCCGCAGCTCCACAGAGTGTAATATTATTGCACAAACGTCAAATGGCCAAAAATGTAGACATGAGCGGCAGGCCAAAACGAGGGTGTCATGGCACTTCCGATTCTAGACATAACGTTGTTATACCTTATACAGCATTCCACGGTTGGAATCTCCATTCTGACGTCGCCCAAATTCGAGCGACGTGTCGAGGTTACACTGTAGCATTCTGAGTTGGAATTGACTGGTCGATCGAATCAACCCCCCCCATTGGTTAATCTAAATTTATTTGCCTCTGATTGGCTACATTGCATATTCGAACGCGAAAACATCCAATCAAACGTCGCGGAGCGTTGTGAGGTACTAAACCACTACTCCGAGTATTAATAGTTATGGAATGCGGTGGAGATGCTCTAATACCGTTATCCCTGTTCCGAGTTCAATTTGATTTGCAACTCACGTTCAACAAGGAACATCATCATGCAAGTGGACGTAGCAACCGCGCATAAGTAGAATGGGCATTACACCCTACATAACAAGCAGCATCGAATGAACTACACATCGAAAGTCAAATCATTGTGGATGGAACACATGTCCCATCAACCCTAACAAGCGGCTATACAGTACATGATATCTCAGCCATACTGTAGTTCGTGTGCAGTTTCGCTACTAAATCAACCGTAGCCACGTCGTAGAGCTCGTTTCCCAAGCTTTGCAACGACCAGTTAGTTGGAGCCACACGTAACTTCACATATAACGTCAGATGTATTCGTACCTACAGAGTGTCGTCTGATTTTCGCCAAGTCCTTGTCAAATGTCGTCGTGAGATATGCCCAATTCATATTACTGTACTTGTACGCAAAGTACTACAGTATGTACTACAATGTATGGCGTCAATTTGCTGTCATGTATACTGTACTTGTACGCAAAGTACTACAGTATGTACTACAATGTATTGCGTCAATTTGCTGTCATGTAGTACTTACTACTTCCATATGTATACAGTATTTGTATACTACAGTAGTGTTCAAGTGTTCACAAGTTGGCACGATCATCTTAACCCCCACGAATGCCGTCGCCAGGCTGCACACCACATTCCTATATCCCATCTCTCCACACTTAACATATATCTATATATATTTAATAATCTCGCGTCAAACTCTCTTCCAGCCATAATATTCTTCTTCTTCTTGCTCCTACGGAACAACTCGGTTGGGGCCGCCGTTGTTTGTCCTCCGGCGATTCCACACCCCCGCTAGCTTGTCCCCTCCATCACTCGGATGTTTTGGAGTCGGCACTCTTTCGCCGTCGACCATTCCATTGTACATGTCATAGTACGATACATGTACATGTTGGGCGAGGCCGCCCGCTTGCGTGAACGTGTCCTGGGTAGCATCGACAAACGACGGGGGGCCGCACACGTACAGGTGCTGGGCTTGTTGGGGGTTGGGCACGAGCGAGATAAGGGGCAGCATCGCGTCGGGGGTACCGCACTGGATCGAGCACTGCGGCCACTGCCGGATCTCAGCCACGCTCGACGCCGCTAACGACAGGTCGGCTTCAGCGTCTTCTAACGTGGCGGCGCAGTGCAGCACGACTACATGTCCATCATACGTCTGTCGGACGCTGTGCAGAGCTTGGAGCATGGCCATAAACGGCGCCAGGCCCAGGCCGTAGCTGACAAACAGCACCGACTTGGGCAGTTTCGGCACATCGTCGACTTCAAAATGGTGATCCGATTCGACCCAGTACAGCCGAAGATCGGCGTTTCCAATGGTTTGAGACTCGACCGAGTGAAACCAAGGATGGTGTGCACCTGTGGTATCGTCGTGCACGTAAATGTCAAGTGAATTCGACGCATGCGGCCGGTATGAAGCAATGGGAAAGTATTGTTTGACCATGGAAGTACGCTGTTGGGGTGGTTTCTTCGACTGGCGGGAGGTGGACAATAGGGGATTGCTGGGTTCGTCGGATACTGGAGCGTCGAGTGCTTGTGGTTGGGATGGTTGGTCAAGCACTGGAATGCCAAGGATGACCCCATCTCCAGGCAGAAAGCGCAACGGAAATGCATGGGTTAACGTGATGCGTCTGGTTTTGCGTTTGGGGTGGTCGACAAGATGGGGAGTTGGAGTCGCCTTCTGCTGGTGATGGTGCTGCGAGTGCTGGCCTACTTTAATGGCCGTGATGGTAGCAACGACGCTGTCGGTGACCGCGGCCGGCGGGTTGTGTACGATTACCGGCAGCATGAGGTACATGAGCAGGCAGAACGCCGTCAAGTACGCTTCCTTGACGTCGTAATTCCACTGGTCGCCGCTCACAATCTCAAGTGTCTTCAAGAGCGTCACGCCCGCGGTTGTGTAGTCGGTTTTTTCGCATCCGTAGGTCAAATGTCGCCCCGCCAACGCTTGCATTCGGTCGACAATGTCGGGGCAATGCAAGATGCTTGTCATGGCTCGTAAGATCGCAAACAGCGACTTGCCCTGCAGATGCATACTCGACCGAAATATTGACCGGCAAGACGGCATCACGGCAAACAATAGGCTGTAGTACGTCCGGTGGAAGAACTTATCAGGGTTCCCGTGCCGAGTCTCGTCGTACGCCGACGAAGTGCCGCGGGAGATGAGCGTCCAGTTGGCCTCGATCAGCCGGACGTGGCGCCGTGTGAGCACCGGCTGCTTGACTTCGAACGGCATGTGTCGAACATACTGCTGAACAAACTCGTGCGTGAGCCCCACCGACCCGTCGGATGTCGTGAACAAGATGGACGAAGGATGGTGGTGGTGCTTCTGCTGCTGCTGCCCGGGTGTCCGCTGGTCGTGGCTGGCGTTGGAGTGCGCGGCGCCCATTCAAGTCGTGGCCGTGATGGTTGGATGGATTGTGTTGGGTAGCATGACCATTGTGATATAAAACTGCACGCGGTGTTTTAACCCGATGTCCCATCACGTTAAATAGGTTTAACGTACATGGGCGTTCCTCGTCGTGTACAAACGTCACGAAGGCGCATGTCATCAGCGTCCATGGGATTCAAGTGCTTGGAATGTAGCTACCTGCAGCGACCAAACAGCTATTGCAGTGACCCTACTGTACTTTGCTGGCGATGGAGTCCATCATTCATAGGGTTTGAGCTTTTTAACGCGTTTTAACGTGTTTTACGTGGCAACCATCAAAACACGTTTTGAGAATACACAAAGATATGTTGCGTTTGTAATCCGCTGGCAATACAGTAGCTACACTCATTGACGGTTCACAATTGCCACTTTGGCTATGTATCTACAGTACTACTACGTATTAATACTAGTACAGTACTCCGGAGTAGTCCGGTGTATTACACAAGTACAGTACAGTACTTGAAAATGGATGTCCATTGCTGGCATGACAACGCGGCAGGATCCAGTATTGGTTGGGGAGTTTGCTTCCTGTTGACGATTACAAGTCGTCAACATGTACCTACCTTGCAAAACACGGCATTCTATGCGCTGTGGTGTCGCTGAGTATGCGCGGCTTTGACACGAAAAAATACAGCACTATCGGTAGTCAGTGGGCTTCACAAGTAGTAGTAAGTACTGTAGTTGGCCATGCATTTTTCATATCTCGCCACGAATGAATTCACTCTGCTGTACAGTGTACTTACACCGATATCTCATGCAATGTCAATACGTGAGTAGTTACAGTACTTCTGTACCCGTCCAAACCTACCTTATGGAACAGTACCCATGATTTTGCCTTATCGAGTTGTACCCAAATTGCTGAGTACTCCGATTACAATTTGTTGGATCCTTGGAAGTTTGTACCCAAGTCGCTTTATATTGGTCAAATTTGTCCAATTATTACGTTCTAGCCAATCAAACAAGTGAAGGAAGTAGAAATGGCCAATCCGAACAACATACAAAAGAAATCCGACCACCTTATTGAGTTGTATCCATTTCGATCAGATTTTATTGACATTTTCGGGGGTACAGATCCATAAAATATACTTTAGACACAACGTGATGCAGTGGTGTGTGTACAGTACGTTTATATCATCCATCCAGTGAATATGTCTTTCCCTTGGTAGAGATGCGATATTGGGTGGGGGGCTATAGGGGGCCTAACGTTATCTATAAAAAGTTGTGGGCTATATAATCTTGAGTCATATGCAATCTTGATTTTACGATGTAGCCCCCCAAAGTGAATTTGTATGCTGTATTACTACGTAGTATTAATTGTTACCTCTTCACCGCAATTCAAATACTTCGAAGTACAGTGATCCCTCAACGTTTGCTCCCTGGTATAAATTTATACTCCGTTAAATTTTATTCGATATTAATTTACTAAGGGCCTTATGACATGCATGCATCGTTTGAAAATTCAAAATTGAGGAGCCAACACCTCATATTGACAACTACACACACAAAGACATTTGAGAGCCAATGGATGCCGGTATCATCGCTGCGTTCAAGAGCCACTACAAGCGTCGTCAAATGGATCATGTTTTAGACATCATTGATGATCCTACCGTCGAGTCCGGTCGCGAACCAAGTAACTTGTACGCCGTGGACGTGCTCACGGCAATACGTTGGTCGGTTTCCGCCTGGAATTGCGTCACATCAACGACCATTCGCAACTGCTGGGCTCATACGGGGGTTCTACCTCGGAACTTGGGCCATTCACTTCAGCTTTTGCTTACTGTTAATTGACCAGCAGATAGTCACCCTTCAAAGTTAATGTTCGTGGTTTCTTTGTACAATAGGCTGACTTGGAAAATTTATATTTGGAAACGCGAGCAAACGTTGAGGGATCACTGTAACATCTACAGTACAGTATATCGCCCTTCGTAACTCACCATTCATTGACGCCTACCCATCAGCCATTACTGTCCTACCTGTACGGCCATTATTTATTCTAGATGACTTGTCTAGGGCGACCAACGACACCAAACAGTACTACAGTAGTACACACCAACGTATGTATATCGGTATTTATATATATAGATATCTATGTTTTCGTTCTAGACCATGTCGTTCTTGTCTACAATCCACGTCTACTTGGCCAATTCTGCCTTGAGTTTCGCCACGTCCAGCTTCCCGTCTTCGCTGGCACACGGGCCCCGAAGGAGGGCAATCACTTCATGGTGTACCAAGTCGAGGTCGCCCAGCCAGCGCCGTGCCTGCGCCTCTGTCAGCTCCGCGTCGCCGTCGACTTCATGCCATAGCGCCGGTCGCCACGTGTCCTTTAGTTTCCGGAGCACTCTGTCCCGGTCAGCATGGGGAAAGTCCTTGGGGTTGGCTTCCATGTACTTGGCCGAGTACTCGTCCAAGTTGTCTAGAATGAACCCCTGGCCCACGACTTCAATACGGGCGCCGACATAAAAGTCCGATTTTGCAAACGGCGTCCCTCGGCGCGGCTCTTTATGAATCCCCCGCTCCATAAACTTGCCCCCTAAACACACAATCAACACCCCGTAACTTGGTCGATTCCTCCACTCATCACGTCAATATATATATATATATATAGGATCGTTTGATGCATCCAGTTCCCCCTTCCCCATTGACAACGGGTATACATGTACAGTAAAAGGAGGTAGACGACGACGTACCGCCAATGCCGCTGTTTCGCTGGGGAGGCTCCATGACCATAATCGACAAATCGCAGATCATAAAGCTGACAATGAACCGGCGCAGGACGTCTTCCGGTTTGGTCGTGTCCATGTGGGCGCAGAACCGCAAGATGATCTTGTTGTCCGTTTCTTCCATCGATTTGCGGTGGGGTTTTGGGGTTAAGTGGTAGCACGACCCGAGCGAGTCGATTTCCGATCCGATGCCATTATACGGCGGGGGGACGAATGGCTTGGGTTTCTCAGACATGTCCGGTAGCACCAGCGCCGTGCCCACGTCAATTCCATGATCCAAGTACCATTCCCGGGTACTTTCGTCTGCGTCGAGCAGCAGAATGTTGCGGTTGTAAATGGTTACAGTGACCCCCACCGCCAGATGTTCCCAGCTGAAAAAGTCATCTTCCGGTGGGGGGGCGGCGTGGGTCAACGCAGTGGCAAACGGGCCTTCGAACTTGGGCTGCTTTAACAAACGTGACCGGTTCAAGAGCTTTGGGAACGGGTCACACCCGCTGTTGCGGTCGTACGACTCGCGAATCTCGACAGTGTTGTCTGCCAAAAAGAAGTGCAAAATGTACCGATGTTTGGTCCCGTACAGCTTGGATGTGTCATCCCACAAGGCAAACCAGCGCAACACGTGGCGATCGTGCTGGACAAATCGACGGCGGTGGTCCGGTGGCCGTGCGAATTTTCCAAGCGATGCCTCCATAAACTCTTTCATCGGGTACTGTTTCTTGCCATAGTTGGCGTCCATGTCCTGCCCTGTTTCACGGGCCATGTGCGCATGTCGAATCACTAATATAGTGTGAATTATCGTCCGAGGATGTGATGTTCATTTTGTCATGTAGTATATCGATCGATATGAAGCTCAATAGGTTGGCCAGGATGCATGTCAAAGATATATAAAAGCTAACGTTAGTATAATTAATATGTATATTGTGTCTTTGCTCGAAATACTAGTACGTCGCAATAGTGCAAGGTTCTGGTAAAGCCGTCATGTGAATGCAAAATACGAACAAGCTTGGATTTAGTCTTTGATGTTTGGCTTGGACAAGTAAGCATAGCCCAGAAAGCTCATGTAAAATTGATCATGTACATAGTAATGTATTATACACGCATGGGGGTATACGGGGGGAAAGTCAAGAAGAAGAGGGGGAAGCTATTGGGAGAGCGTACCGGTGTAGGCATCACGCGGGGTGGGCTGGTCCGCCGGAACATGGATCCCCTGACTTGTCAAGAACGTTCGCGTAAACGGATCGGCAGTTTGTATGTGAAATGTGCGACCGTAGAACGTCACTTGGGTGCCAATGTTGATGTCCAAAAACGTATAATACGCCATGTTGCCGTCGTCGTCGCTTTCTGGCTTGGGGATGCGGTGTCGCTTGACGAAATTGCCTTGCAAAATGCCGCTGTTTTCAATCTACCCACGAGAGTTGTTAGGATGTACATAACCTTCCACATACACCCCCCCCCAACAAGCTGTGCCAAAACCGAGACACATACACTAATTTATGGTGGTTCAAGTACCTTGGGCTCGATGATCTGAATCGTGTTGTCTTCGAGGTAATACAGCACCACGCATTTGCGGACACGGTAGTTTTCAACGTTGCTTTCGTGCACGGCTTCGAGAAAGTACCCTTCGAAGCGCAGCACTTTTTTGTCCAACGCGATAAAGTTGGGAACTTTGGACTTGGACGGGTCGAACGCTATCAATGGCGCCACCTTCTCCGCGGCGGGGATGTCCAGCTGCCGCGTGTACACGTGGGCTGGAACGTGCCCGCCCAGAGCATGCCCCTTCGTCTTCGGGGTGACGTCGCCATGTCGTCGAAACATCATTGGCACATTCTGCTGCTTCTGCAAGAACTCGCTTGGCATGGTGGTGGTTGAAGTTAACCCCGGAAACTATTCCGTTGGGTTCTTGGACGCGATGGGCTAAAAATAGATTCCGTAGCAACAGCGGCAACATGAAACCAAAACCGCTGGGGAAACCGTTCAGTTAGTTTGACCAATAATACCGTAATAGTATATCCCTGAATAATTTGAGCGGCATGCGAGTGTCCGTTGTGTATTCCGGATACGTATCCGGAATTCGTCGCGATGGGTATACCCGTAGCGTGTTTGAGCGACGATCCATATTTAAAACTATGTTTCGTCCAGTTGGATACAAATGTTTAGATATAAATTATATTAGCATAATAAATATATGTATGATATGATGCTAGTCGTCGTCGAGTTTGGTGATGACGTCGCCAACGAGGTGGCAATGACTGGCGATGTCAATGCGTTCATGTTCCCAAGCACAAGAACTGCCAATAAGTAATGTGAACGTCGCGACCCACAAGACCTCGGACGACAGTTGAATCTTTATCGGCGAAGATGGTGCCTAGAAGGTGTACAACGTCACCAAGTACCTGGACGCCCACCCCGGCGGTGCCGAGATTGTGCTAGACTTGGTGGCCAAGTTAGCAACGACGCCTTTGAAGCCGTCGAACACGCGTTGCACACCCGCAAAATGTTACAACGTACTTGATCGGCACGTTGAAGAAGCCGCGCAGATGTCGGTGAACAAGGCCAGTCCGTCCAGCGGCGAAACGTGCTTCTGGACGTGTCGGTGATTGCTGTGGTTGCGGGATGGCACTACGTGTCCCCAGCGGGTGGCCTTAATGGCGACCACCAGTTACATCTAGAACTCCTAACTTGAGTAGATCGATCTCTTGTTACGCATTGTGATGTGCCAACGTCCATCCCTAATAAGGGCATCCTCCGATAAGCTTATCAGTGGAGTGATGCGTCAGCCAAACTTGGGATCACACGCCAGGCTTTGTTTTATCTAGGCATGCGATGTGGCCTAAGCCATTCAGAGGTCATCGGCAATGACCTCCTCTCGTCACCGTCGCCCTCCACTGTGATCGAGAACTTGTGTGTGCACCAAGTCGCAGCCAATGCATGCCAGCTATGTCCAGGCCGTTCATGTCACGACGACCACTGCTATAAAGTGATGGTCCCTTGTCACCCCCATCTCGATGGCATCGTCACGACGACATGACATCATCACAGCATAGCCATGCAGCATGACACGTTTGGTTCACGCCGTCGACGCGATCGGTTGCGACATAAATTGACCACAGCAACGTTCGCACCGTCCACCATCACGACGAAATCACATACAAACAATAAGGTATTCAACACCAGATGACGACAGAAGTCACCATGATGTCCTGGTGACGGTTGCGTCAAAGATATGCGATGTGGTGGCGCGTTTGGTATCGTCGTCGATTCGTTCCAAGGGCCACACAATATGAACTCATTGCTCAATTTCCCTGGACATACCCACACCATACCAATATATCAATCCACACATCATGGTTGCCTCGTCCGCCAAAGTATTTACCCTCGAACAAGTCGCCGCACACAACAAAGAGTCTGACTGCTGGATCGTCATCGGACGGCCAGGCGCCAAGAAGGTTTACGACTTCACGCCGTTCGTCAACGACCACCCTGGCGGCCCAGAGCTCGTGCTCACACAAGCTGGCACGGACGTGAACGAGCTGTTCGAAGACATTGGGCACACCACGGACGCGCTAGCGTTGATGGACAAGATGTGCATCGGCACCCTATACGAAGCGCCAGTTGACCCGACCAAAGCCGCTAATGCCAACATCGCAGGTGCCCCGTCCGACAACTACTTTATCTACGTGTGTGTCGTGGTGGTCGCCGCGGCCGCGTACCTTCAGTATTAAGTGAGCATTTCACTGGTAGCATAATAAGTTTATATAACTGTAAGTCCATTTTCCGACCCAAGCCCCGTACGACAACTCCCTACAACAGTAAGCTAGGAATGCATCGACTACTGTGCGTCGTTTACAAATCAATGGTCTCCACAGGAATGTTTTGACGGCAATACTGTATGGTGGCTTCTTTCACGTGTCTCAAATGTCCATCGCTGGCATCCTTGGGATGACCTCGCAGCTAAAAATATAAGCGTTGCCATCTAACCAAACGAATCGTATGAGTACATGGCGGGTGGGGGATTACGAGGCGACGTCTACAGTGGTGCAATTGGCCATCCAGCGAATGGGCGGCTCTGCCATCTCGGCGACGCAAGTGGACCACGTGACTCAGTACTTGGCACAGTAACATTCTTTCCTATTCCCGCAAGACCAACACCTGAGCAATCGACAACATTATTGTAGGCAGAATTGGTTTACCACGGCCGCCGACTTACGAGTTGCTCTGCACAACCCTACGCAATGGAATTCGTACGTAATCAATCTGTCCTATTCTCCGACCAATACATGGGCAGTAGACCAGAGAGACTAAAACCCTAGACTACTGTATAACAATAATGACGATACAACTACCATCCCTTGGTTAAATAGGTTGGATATTCCCGGGCGATTGAAGCTAGCGTTGGAAGAAATTTTACACGAATGGGACCCTCCGGAAGAACAAGTCCACGACGAGTGTCCTGCTGGCTATACCGTTCAAGTAAGCACAGAAACCCAATCTACTGTCAAGGCATAGTTTCAAAACCTCCGTGTACATATCCTGTGCATCGACCTAGCTACCTCGTACCCTTCCGAATGCTCCTTTGGCAAGTAAGCTGTGTGCGTAGATACCAAGTCCATCCATATTGGCGGAACGTTCAACGGGCGACAGACATGCCGACGATGATGGCAGGTGGGTGTGCATCCGATGCAGCTGGGAAAACCAGTACCAGGACTCGTTTTGCGTCGTGTGCTTTGAGCACTACTCCGTGTCGGTGGTGCTGCAAGCCCCCGTAGCCCCATCTGCCCCCGACTTCGACTCGATCGTGTGTGCCATGCCAGTGGCAGAAGAGATAAACGTCCACCCCGACGTTTACTTACCCCCTTATCCCCCTTTAAACGCCCCTTCGCTGCTGCCCCGTCCTCCACTGACCATTGAAACACGTGTATGTCTATTCTACTTGAAAAGTTCAACGTGATAATATTGGGCTACCCCAGGCCGTGCCAGCCCCACTCGTGAATGAAATGTCGCAACATTTCAAGGCCCTCGCATTCAACAAACCCCCGTCGCCCAAATCCAAACCCACTCGAAACGACGACGATGAAGGCGACTGTCGTAGGAGTCCTCAATCTGTGACACGGATCTAACGAAGCCAACGGACAAAATACCCTATGCATGATCAACCAGATGGCCTAAACGGAAGGCAACAATTTATAATTGGATAAGATTTACATCAACGGACCTTAACCCCCTTACTACACCATTTTGCGTTGAATTTCAGCTGTTTTTTTCAATACAGTCCCACATCGGTTATATTTCACGTAATGATCATCCATATCGTTCATCCAACCTCCACTATATTTCACGCCGACGTAAAATATCGCCATGATTTTTCACCGTACAACCTACATACACCTAACTACAGTAACAGTACAATTCATCCTTCGACTATACCAGTATAATTCACCCTTCTCCATTCACGTAAGTACAGTCTGTGCATGAAGGATTGTATATCCGGTTCATATTGTAGTTGTATATTACAGTACAACTGTACTTAGTCAAAACTTCTTTTGTCCATGTAGTATTATCAGTAACTAGTTAGGTGAAAAGTCACCAACTTATCGAAATATATTGGGCATTTATTTAGTAATACTAGTAGTACCACTCAACCTCTACTAACTAAAACGCTTTGGAATCGTCGTCCAAGAACGGAATGTTGAGTTGATCTAGAAACGGAGTGAGCAGCGGCGCCAGCGTCGTCTTTTCCGCCGGCGGCAACTTGTTGCGAATATGCTCCAAATACTCGAATTTTTCACCCATTTTGGCCTTGATTTTGGCCAATTTCGTCCGCGCCTCCGCCGTGCCTTCGTGCATAGCTTTGGCTTTGAAGCTCAGATAGTGTCGCAGCAACTCGCTCACGTCGTGAAAATGGTTGGTCAATTGGGTCTTGAAGTTGCTGTAAACGATAGATACAATCGTTATTAGAAATAATATTAATAATAATATTAATATAACTAACTACATACCTCGAGATGAACCGTGTGTCCGCTTGGCGATTGGCTTGATCCAATGCATTGGTTTCGTCACTTTCTTTTAAAATATCATCCAATATCCCCCGTGCATGCCCTACATACAATATTTTTAATACATGCATACAATTTCTTGATTTAATAAAAGAATCATACTAATTAGATAATTATCATATTCCTTCCAAAAAAAGAACCTACCCCACAACCTTGGCAGATACATATGTATAACCAAACCATATATATATATATATGAATCATACCAGCGAAACACAAGTGAAGACACTACCTACTATATGTCAACAGTTAAAAAAGATACACTATACAAAAGTACAATACCCCACTTATCGCCACAGTTATATATATATATATATACTCTACACTAGACTTATACACTTTACTTACGAGGAAAAGCCGCCGACAAGTCGAGTGGACTCAGCACCATACGCGACAGCGCAACTTGGGACGCCTGCCATTTTGTATTGCTGCTGCTGGTAGTTTCGTGCCCAAGTAGTTCCGACTTGGTCTATGGCAAAATAATAATTCAAATCAATTATAAGACTCAAACTATGCGCGATGTATATATATATATATAATATATATATATAATAAATATATATATAGATTTCAATAGCCATTATTCCAACATCAAAGCACACAATATGAAACTGCACCAAAGGTAGCCTGCAGATCCTACATTTTACGGAATTAAGCAATCCACAATGTGTTCTACTCAAACATTTCAATTGAATCAACCGCCGAACAATCTCCGGACCTTCGAAATTTCATATAAAACTAAGTTGAAGAGGTATCTTTGAGACTGCAATACTACAATCAATCTTTTTAGCCAATCAAATTGCAACCTTCATTCTTTGTAGCCAATCATACTCGTTTGCTCGATTAGTTGCGATTTCATCAATTCCCAAAAATAGGCAAATTTGACTGAAAGCACAACAATTGTATCCATAAAGTACTATCCAAAATACTCTAGTTATTCAGAGTCCATATATTTCCCTATTCCACCTCACCAAAGTCCAAATCGACAGACACCATATTGTGTGGGGGGATTGTTGAAATCGTCCCCAAATCGAGCAAAGAATATGTTTGATTGGCTAAAAAGAATGAACGTGGCATTCTGATTGGCTACCAAGGATTCACGTTGGTACCCCTTTCCACCACCATATACAGTACTAGCACAGAATCCATCTCATATGAATGAACCAATAATAGGTTTTTCAATATATTTCTTAGTGAATTGTGTTCAATCTGAAATTTAATAGACACTAGTATAAAGTCAACAACAATTCATTCTGGTGTCTTGTGTATCCTCTATCAGAAGCTAATCGATCATCCATGATGTCTTGTGTACCTTTATTTCCTATATATATATATATAATATCCTCTATCAGAAGCTAATCGATCATCCATGATGTCTTGTGTACCTTTATTTCATATATATATATATATATATAATATCCTCTATCAGAAGCTAATCGATCATCCACCCATCCATCCCCCATATAACAACGACACACACATACACGCCCGCATACTTCTTTACCTATTCCCAACCAACAAGCACTCCCCAATTCCATACATACATCCATATACATCCCACATCATCTGAATAGTAATATAATAAAATACATCGCATAGATATATATACATATACATACATCCAAGGTATTGTCATGCTCGAAGTATCGAGCTGCGTTTTCCAAACTCAGGGGCAGAACGGGCTCGGGCTGGGGCGGCGCCAGGTCATCCAATTCGACAGCCAACACAATCGAGTCGAGGGCGGCGGCGGCGGCGCCTTTCACATGGAGGACATCGGCGGCATGGCGGTTGAATTTGGCCAGGTTTGTGTCTGTGGTCGATTGAACAGAGTCGTTCGAGTAGGATGCGACGAGGTTGATGAGCGGGTCCACATGCTGGAGGTCTGTGGGTCCGACTTGCTGGAGTTTGGCTTGATACTTCTCTTCATATCTGGTAAATAAATCTTCGGGATGTCCAAGGTGATGCTGTTGATTTTGCTGGGTCGAGAGTCCGCTGGTCTTATCGCGATGGGCATACTTCGACTTGACAAACAACCCCCAAAACTCGAGCCCAGTCATCTTATCAGGTACTTGCTCTTGATATGCCAAGTACACGACAGGGTACTGCACAAAGATCTGGTGGATGATCTCTGGGTTCAAGTTGTACTTAACCGATTTGCCGCCGCTCTGGTTCTCGCCTTGCACGTCCGACAAGATTTCCGACGTTTTCCCGGTTTTCTGGCGTTTCGCCCGTTCGGTTAAGAGCAGTTGCTTGCGACAAGGTAAGTTCCAAAAGTCATGTTCAGAAATCAAGTCGCCTACATACATACATACAGTAGGTACTAAGTACTAGTAGGTACTAGGTAGATTGTACGTACCCACGACCATGTCGTTGTACTGGCGTTTGAGCGTGTTGGGGTGCTTTTGCAGCAGCTGCTGACGCTGCTTCTGCTCTGCGTCCGATGTGCCTATCCATGGAGACAAACATGAGCAAATGACGATGGTAGGGTGGGGTACACCAACCTTCGCCTCGAAACGACGGATGATGGGAGGCGGGTGGCGGCGGCATCGTCGTTAAGATCGCATGGCTGAGCTGCTCCTTGATGCGCTGGAGGTCGTCGTTGGTCGTGAACTCCAAGATGTACATCACCATGGGTGTTTGACGCACACGGAACCGCATCATGTACCGCGCTGTCTTGGATGCCCCCGCAGAAGTCGCGTTCACTTGCAAGTCCTGGATGTCCTTGAACGCAATGGATAGCTTCCGCGAAGTTGTCTTCATCCACAGCGCATCGCGAAGCAAGATTACGCCTGGACCTTCTTCCTTCTTACCGCCCTCCTTCTTCTCCGTGTACTTTACATGCACAGCGCCAGGCGGCAACACGTCGTTCGCTGTGGCCATCACTGCCGTGTATTGTTGGGATTGTATTTGACCTGAAATACAGTAAAGGAATTCTGATCGAGTTTTGAATATTACGAGGATGATAAATTAAAATAAATCGACTAAAAAAATCTTCCTACAGTTATTTTATAGCTGTGTAGAAATTCACAGGATAAATCCCGACCGATACTGGTATTTAAATGCGTTTTAAATCATCGGATTGGTCAGAATGTAAATTCCGAAAGGTCAGGGATCGCAAGACCAGAATTGTAGTCGTAATGATGGCTTACGTACTGGAGCGTTATGCGTGCGTTTATATTGGCAACTACGTGGGCAAGTCAGCATGTGTATCAATTGAATGGACGGGTACATTCCCCGCAAGCGGAGGGAGTCACGCCCGTCCCCCTTTGCGATGGAACGTTCGAAATGCTGTCCATTCCTACACATGCAATGCATAACCATTCCGTCATGCTGATCGAACCTTACTTACGCATTGCACGCTGACACACTTCCAGTGTGCTTCTTCATGCACGCTACACGCAACACCACTTGCCGAGGTTAACGTAAAGGTTCTATTTACGACGCACGGACCTATTTATGATCTCTTGGAATTAGCCAATCAAATAACAAAAATATTAGGCGGGATAACCTCAAAAAACCTATACCAGTGACGCGCGAAACCGAATTTTATCGTATTGGATCACCTCTGGTACTGCGCGGCCATGCCCACCCCTCGGAGTCGCTACACAACGAAGGAACTTGACGCAGCGGTGCTGACCGTGCTCGCAGGTGAATGCGGCAAGATCGTGTCGTTGAAGACACGAATTCCGTACAGCACACTCATGCGAAAGATGCGTGAGTCCCGTGCCGGAACAAGAAAAGACCCGCAGCGCA